GATGGGGGATGGGGATGGAGGGTTGGAGGGATGGAGGGATGAGCAGACTCTGGGTGCCAGCAGCAGATCATGTTGAGATGGGGGACGGTGTCTGGGCTGTCTGGCTGAGGGATGCCCAGGGCCCAGCTGACATCACCCTGAATGACAGCTGCATCCCCCAATAAAGGCCTGTCTCCTCACAGGGAGGTGGGGCTCTGGGCAGAGGAGAGAGGGGGCCAGTGGCATCTCCAGAAGGCCCCTGGGGCTGCTGGTTAAGGGGAAATCAGGCTCTGCCCAGGCCACCTCGCCCCTCTGGCCTCGGTTCCTGTCTGTGAAATGGGCGCGTTTATGGTCCTCTCTTAGGTGCAGTGAGTAGGACACGCAGAGGCACCTGTCCTGTCAGCCTCAAGGGGTGGTGAGCGGGATGCATGGCCACGGGCTGTCCCCTGCAGGGGGACCTCCTTCCCTGTCCCCCAGCGCTGTGCACAGAGCCCGTGGGGCTCCCCTGCAGGCTGGTTGGGGCGCCCCCTGTGGCTCCAGGGACAAGCAGCCCTGGGAGGGGGGAGGCACAGACCGCCCGCCCCGCCTCCGTGCCCAGTGGCCATCTGTCTGGGGGTGTGCCCAGGGTGGCCTGCCCAGCCCAGGCTGGCGGGCGGTGGGGGGCGCCGGGCTGACTGCTGGGCCTCGTCGTGAACCAAACACGGTGACTGTTTAACGATTGAACCACACTAATGAATATTGGGCCAGATATTTTCGAGGCCTGTTCCGACTGATTACTTGGAGAGCTGAGTACGTCTCCCAATTACCCAGGCAATTAGGCGACTAATTAAACACTTACCCTTCGCTTCATAAACAGGAGCGAGCGGGTGGGAGCGGGAGCTGGCTCGGGCGCTGTGAAATATCGGCTGTCAGGGAGGCCCACGCCAGCACAGACCCACACCAGGATCCGGCTGCCCTGTGGGCAGGGAGGCCAGGGGTCAGATGAGCAGGGGGACTCATGTCCAGAAGGGCCAAAGGCTCTGTCCAGGTCTTGGGTCAGAGTCCAGTCTTCTCAGCCCCTACTCCAGGAAGCCCTCCTGGCTTTCCCCAGGCCCCAGGAGCCCAACCTGCTGACCATGGCATCCTAGACACAGCCCCTGGTCCTGAGCCTGCCCTCTGCCTTTGGTCACTCTCTCTCTCTCTCTCTCTGGGGTGCAAGCTTTGGTCACCATGAGCACTCAACAAGCTCCAGGCCTCCTCTAACCACCCCCAGCCAAGTTATGGGGAGATCTGTCTGACGGCGTCACCGTGATCATTTTAAAACAGGGCTGATAACGGACACATGGCCCCCAGTGATACTCCTCCCCTGGAATGGGGCTCTGCACGCCCCCATGAGACTGGGCCCGCCGTGACAGCCACAAGCAGTGCAGGCTGCCCAGGTGATGCCCTGCGCCAGGGCTGGGCCAGGGGCCTCTCTGTTTGCTACCGTGTGCTGCTGCTCCAAGCCCAGAGCCCAGCATGGTGCCCAGGTGTGTCCATACTCTGTGGAAGCCTTGTCGGGCATCACATTCACCTGCTCAAGACCCACCTGCCCACTTCCAGAACAGCTCCATTCAGCCCTGGCCGGACCCCAGGAGGCACTCGGGGGGCATCTGGCATGTGCTGGAAGATGTAATCAATGGTTGCATGAGTCTCATGGGAGAGACTCAGGGGTCCTACCTCAGGCCCATCAAGAAATGCAGAGGCTAAGCTGGGCACCATAGCGCACGCCTGTAATCCCAGTGGCTCAGGAGGCTGAGGCAGGAGGATCGAGAGTTCAAAACCAGCCTCAACAATGGTGAGGCCCTAAGCAACTCAGTGAGACCCTGTCTCCAAATAAAATACAGAATAGGGCTGGGGATGGGGCTCAGTGGTTGAGCATCCCTAGTTCAAACCCTGGTACACACACATCAAAAAAAAAAAAAAAAGAAATAAATAAAAGAAATACAGAGGCTGAGTATGGTGGTGCACGCCTGTAATCCCAGCTACTTGGGAGGCTGAGGCAGGAGGATCGAAATTTCAAAGCCAGCCTCAGGGACTTAGAAAAACCCTGCCTTTAAATAAAAACTAAAAAGGACTGAGGATGTGGCCCAGTGGTTAAGTGCCCAGGGTTCAATCCCTGGCATCAAAAAAGAAAAATGAAATCACAGAATGAGCCCATGGGGCCCCACCCAGGGGCCAGCCCTTGGCCTTTTGGAATCTGTCTCCTGGAGAACCTGCAGAGCCTCTGGGCCCGGGGTGCAATTCACAGAGGGCTAAGGGGGTTCCTTGCTCCCCAGGAGACCTGGCACACGTGGGCTGCCCTGAGGGTGGGGCCAAGGACTCCGTCACAGCACAGTGTGTGCACACTTGCACACGCACACAGACACTCCCGTATGCCCCTCCTGGGTACCAAGGCAGAAGGCCAGCGGGCGGGGAGCAGGGCAGGGCAGCAGGCAGAGCTCTCAGGCTCTGTCCACCCTGGGTGCAGGGCTTGGGGACTCCCAGCCCTGAGGGCAGGGGAAGGGGAAAGGGCGCATGCTCTGTCCCCCAAGCCACCGCTCACCGCTTCTTCTGTGGTTTCTCTGGGCTCCTTGTCCACCAACATTCCCACAGTGGCCTGCTCTGTCTGATTCCCTGCCGGGCCTCCACCCCCCACCCCCCACCCCCCGTCCATCCTCTCCCAAGACCTAGTGGAGCCTGGCAAACAGCAGGTACCTCTTTAATGCTTCTCTTTTTGGAGGAGGGAGTACCAAGGATTGAACTCAGGGGCACTTGACCACTGAGCCACATCCCCAGCCCTATTTTGTATTTTATTTAGAGACAGGGTCTCCCGGAGTTGCTTAGTGCCTCGCTTTTGCTGAGGTTGGCTTTGAACTCGCGATCCTCCTGCCTCAGCCTCCCAAGATGCTGGGGTTACAGGCGTGCGCCACCACTGTACCCGGATTTTTTAATGCTTCTTAACTGGACGCCCTGACCCTCCAAGGTCAAGTGCCACCTCACATCCCCATGAGAGGACTCCCGGGTTGCTCAGAAGGCCTTCCCAGGAGACCAGCAGCATGACACCCCTCACCAGTGTCTGAGGAATAGAGTGGAACACCTTGGAGATGGGACGCTGCTGTCACCTGGGCAGGCTGTGGAGCCAGCGACTCCACCAGACACTGGTCCAGGAGTGGCTGGGGGGTGCTCTTCAGGGCTGGACACCTGCACCCAGGCAACTTTAACTCAAGAAGGTGACCTGGCCTATCTGGGCAGGTCCCTGGCGGCGGGAAGCACAGCCTTCCTGAGGCCCCAGCCCCCCAGCTGTGGCCAGCACCAGGACGGCAGAGACACTGAACCTGCCAAGTTCCGACTGTAAGTGAAATAGGTGTGTGTGAAGCGGCTTGTTATGCAGTTGTGGGCGGATTTGGGGCCTTGGTGCAGAGGGTTGACCCAGGGCCCCTTAGGGGCCCCTCACGCCCCTCCTCAGAAGCCCCATGCAAAGAGGAGGGACCCAGAGGTGAGAAAAGTTAAGGACACTCCCAAATACGTGGCCAGCAAGGGCCACCTGGACTTCAGCCCAGGAAAGCACTGGCCAGCACCAAGGGGGTGTCAAAGGAGGAGAAGACAAGGTCAGCCCGGGACAGTCAGAGGGGACATTTCAGCAGGGGCTTCCTGTCCAGGGAGGGGACAGCCATTAAGTCTGCTCATCCTTCATCCTAGCAGGACCTCACAATGCACTTGCACTGTGACCCCCAGGGGCCAGACCCTCTCTGGGACCATGGCCTGGACTCTACTTCCCTGAGAAAGGACAGGGAATGCTGGGCCTCCCCGGGTTCCTCTGCCATCTGGAGAATCTGGGCCTTGGGGCAGGCCTGGGGGCAGGTCTTCCCTCTGGGGGCCGCACCCCCAGCCTCCTCAGTCTGCCCTACAACCCAAAGAGACCCAAAGTCCCTCTGGACAGAGGTGCCTCCCCCTTGCTGGAGAGCGCCAGGCCCTCCTGTCAACCCCGGAGCACAGGATGTCACAGGATGGGCAGAGAGGAATGAGGAGGGGCAGGGCTGGGGGTCCACACCCTGTGGAATGAAGGACCACAAACTGGGGATCCTCAAGTGACCGAAATTTGCTCTGTCACCATCCAGAGGCCAGAAGTCCAGGGTGAGGTGCTGGCAGGTCTGGTTCCCTCTGGAGGTCCCCAGGATGGTCCTGTCCTAGCTACTTTCCGGTGTCTGGACCTTGCCTTGTTCACCCGTCACCCCACCTGGGCCCTTACCTTATACACCATTCTTCCTGTGTCTGCACCCAGATTGTCCCTCATCTGCTAAGGACACTCTCCACATAGGACCAGGACCCACCCTCATGACCAATATTAACTTGATGGTGGGCAAGACCTGATTTCCAAATGAGGTCACACCCATAGGTGTCAGGGTGGGGCTTGAACACATCTTGGGAGACATAACTGAATGCACAACAGCCATCAGCACACTGGGCAGCCCTGGGCTAGGCTCCCCCTGGCCAAGCCTCAGTTTCCCCACCGTGTCAGGCAGTAGTTCAGGGCGTCTCATCCTGGGATTCGGGTCTTCCCCAAGCACAGGAAGCTGGGTGCCTGCCAGGTGCAGTGGCGCTCACCTGTAATCCCAGCGGCTCAGGAGGCTGCAGATAACCTCAAGTTCAAAGCCAGCCTCAGCAAAAGCGAGGCCCTTAGCAACTCAGTGAGACCTTGTCTGTAAATAAAATGTATACATAAGAGGGCTGGGGATGGGGCTCAGTGGTTAAGCACCCTGGGTTCAATCCTCAGTCCCCCCCCCAAAAAGACAGATGCCCCCTGGAGCGGGCCCAGTGGAAGCTGTCCCACCCCTAAGCTTGGATCGGCTGGGTGAGTGACCACCAGGCTCTGCAGCTGGTCAGAGAGTCCCCCGCCCCCCCACCCCCGGGTAGCCCTGCCTGGTGTACATCAGGGAGGGAGAATGAAGGGGTGAATCATGTTCTAAGAGCGAGGGGGTCCAGACAAACCCAGGCTCTGACAGTCACCATCCATATGACTCAGGTAAGCCAAGTCAGCCCTCCAAGCCTCCGGCTCCTCATCTCTAAAATGGGCAACACCATCCCTATCTCTAGGGATTTTTTTTTTTTTGAGTGAGTGAGTGAGAAGGTGTCTAGCTCTGTCCCTGGCACCTGGGCTTGTGGGCGGCCTGAACTTTCCACAGTCCCACATGGGGAAGGTTGAGGCCACGGGCCACCCAGAACCAAGGTCTATTATTGGGTCTGTCGCTTGCAGAGCTGGAAAGGGGGATCCTGGGGGAATTGTATTTCCAGGGTCTTCCCAGCCCCTCGGAGACTGGGATTGTCGGGGGCACCTGGTCAGGGTCAGGACACCCTGGGGCTCACCCCTGTTGAGTGCACCCAAGGGGCCCAGAGACCCCGCCAGGCCCTTGCCCACCCCTGCCCTTGCGCTGGGGCCGCCCTGGCCAGGCCCTGCCGAGAGGCCCAGTGGAGGGACGGCCGAGCCAGACAAAAAGCTTCTGTTCGGGCCCAGCTGCACGAGGCCGGTATTTATGGCAGGCCGGGAGTTTAAGAAAACAGGGGCCTTCCGTCCACGGGCGAGCGCGGCCGGCGGGGGAAGCGGGGAGCTAATTAAATCTGCGCAGGCCGAGGCCACAGAGGCCGATTGTGCAGAGAGAGGATGTTAATGCGCATTTTAAATATTTATTGTAACTGAGGTAGGTTATGAAAACAGACATCTCTCCTTTCAACACTCTGTGCGTCAGATTTAGGGGCTTGTCTGCTTGCTGAGTGATTTCGCAGCAGTCGGCCAGGCCGGGAGCCCATCCATCACGCCCCGCAAGAGGCCAGCGGATGGTGAAAGATTAGCGCGCTGATTTATGGGCCGGTGGGGCCCACGGGCCTCGAGTGGGCAGGGCAGCCACACACACCTGTCTGGCCTGGTAGGCGGGCAGGGTGTGCGTGACCAGCCCTGGGCTGGGAGGAGCATCGAGGGACCCCGAGATGGCCCTGGTGACCTGGTGCGGGCAGCCAAGGCTTTGGGTCCACCCTCTGGGTTCTCCATGGCCAGACTGGGGTTTCCAAGGGACACCCGATCCCCTGTGTTCCTTGGTTTCCTCATCCAGAGCAGAGGAGCCGCTGGCAGGTTTGTTAGACCTGGAAGAAGAAGAAAGATGGCCCGTGGACAGGCTCTCAGAAGAGTCCCGGTGTGCAGAGCATGAATGCTTTCTCCAGGACTCAAGCTGCTGTCACTGAGCAGAGCTGGGACAGACAGCTCCTGTGACTCTCTAAGCCAATGGGAGCCAGCTCCAGCACACCTCTGCCCTGTAGGTCCAGCGTCCAGGTGGGGCCTCTCCTTCTGGGGAGTCCTGGCTCACTCGGAAGGAAGCCCAGCAGAGGCCAAGAGAATGGAGGCTCTGAGGCCCGGTGCATGGGAGATGAGGGCCCTGAGGGAGTGCCAGGGAGCGGGGTGGGTAGGAGCCTGGGGAGCTGGGCAGGGAGGGCTGGGGTGGCAGGCAGTGCCTCCCTGAGCCAGGTGGCCACCCCTGGGCCTTGGGCGCTGTTGCCTCAGGGAGCTGATGGGAGCAGGTTTGGATGTCTTTTGTAGCTGAAGGCTGGTTCTGAGGGGTGACTGTCCTCTTGGGGGGCAGCTGGGTTCTGGGGGGCCGGGATGAGGAGGCCCAGCCCAGGCAGGTGTTGCCGAGTATTGCAGAGTGGGGAGCCCAGCTGGTTTCCCTGACTCGCAGCTGTGTCTGCCCCTTTGGGACAGTCTCTGGTGACTTCGTAGCCTTCCTCAGCGAAAGGGTTCCTAAAGGATATTCCTAAGCCCATATGGTCCACTCCAGCAGCGCTCTGCCATGTGCAGAGCAGGGAGCCTCCAGAGCCCTCCCTCCCCTCCCCAGGACAGGCCACTGGCTGCGTCCCAGCCCACTCTGGTCCTCCCCCTCTCACTTGCCCAAACTCAGGCTGCATCCCAGCCCACAGGCAGGGCTGCCTCGTCCCCACAGGGAGGTGATCACTGTCTTGGGAAGCCCCACATCCCCCCCTCCTGCTCAGAAGTCCTGTGTCCTTTCCTCCTGGGCCAGGGTCCCTATTCCCTGGATCCCTGTGATTACAACAGACCTCCCAGACCTGCTCCCATCGACACCCCCAGGCAGCGGTACCCAAGGTCTGGAGTGGCCTCCTGGACTCTGGGAGAAACCTCCTGCCAGCCTAGCCGTCCCTGTCCAGTCCCCCGGTCCCCTGGTCTCCATCACCTCGTGGGCGGGCTCCCACTGCCTTCTTGGCTGGGAATAAGATCGGCCCCTCTCCCCGACTCTTGGGTGCCATTATTACCCCAGGACCCTGCTGGGTGTTTCTTTCAGAAACCGGGAGTCCTCAACAGGCAGCCTGGAGGGCAGGACACCCATGCCCCACCCTGGATCCCCAAACGGTCCCCCACTGCAGGCTTGGATGGGTGGGCACCGAGGCCTGGGCTCCCAGACAGACACGTGCCGCCCTGCCCATTAGGCTCGTTAGCAGAGCGGGGACGAGCAAGCGCAGACCGTGTGGTCGATAGGGATGTGGCTCTCCTGGTGTGGACGGCCCCCTGCCTTGAGGATCAATGGTCCCTTCATCCCAGGCTCTGAGGAGCAAAGAGAGGCGCCCTGTGGCTGGGCCCAGCGGGACTCTCAGGAGCAGGAAGCAGCTTCCCGGCGCCCCAGGCTGGTCCCACCCTTGGAGATTCCCAAGCCAGCCCTGGAGTCCCCGAGACTGCAGATTGGACTGCACTCCCCATTTTGCTGAAGTGGGGCCCAGTCTCAGAGAAGCTTTGGATTGGTTCCTGGTGGCCACCGGGGCCTTGGTGAGGTCAGGGCAGAAGCCTGGGCTTCTGGCTTGGGAGGACCCTGGGGACACGAATTGGGGGGGTCTCTGATCTACTCGGAGATCCTTCTAGCTGTGCAGCTCTGTCATCCCTCTGGGCCTGGCCAGGTGGGCAGTGGGGACTCTTACCCTCCTTTTGCCCTGTATCTGACATCCCTGGGGGCCGAGCTTGGCCAGGCGGGGCTCTGACGACCCAGAGCCATCATGGAGCGTGGCCTGTGTCCTGCCTGTGGCAGGTTCTGAGCCCCAGCACATGGCTGGGGAGGGGGGGCTTACTCCAGTTTCCTTCCTCCATTTCTGTGCTATTCTAGAAGAAGCTGCAAACAAGGTGAGGACAAGGGCCTTCCACCATCAGCCTGTTGGATTCAAGGGCCATCAAGTTCAGAGACCTGAGGTGCAATGCACTTGTACTGTGTCCCGTGTGAAGTCTGAGCTGCACTTTCCGCTGTGCAGGGCACTGCTGGGCTGGTGGGAGTCTATGGGAGGAGTGACCCACGTGTTCCAGTCACCTGCCACGGCCTGACAAGCTGCCGGCAAACTCAGCGGCTTAAACACAGCCATTTCATGATGTCTCCCTACTCCTGGGTCAGGAATCCAGGGAGGCTCAGCAAGTGACCCTTCTGTTCTGTGAGGTGTCCACTGAGGTCACTCGGTAGTTTCTAACTACCCAGGATAGGTTTGGGGCTGCCCTGGTGGGGACAGATGAAGCCTGACTGGGTGCCCAGCAGTGGCCTTTTAAGCATGGCTGTCCCTATAATCAGATTTCTCCCATAGCAGCTTCAGTATCCCAGCAAGAAGATCCCAAGAGGAAGAGGGAGAAGCCTTTTTATGACCTAACAGAGGAAGTCCTAGAACAGCAGCTCTGCCACTCCTATTGGTCAAGCAGATTTAGGGGAGGAGCCTAACTTCATCTGCCTATAACTTCATTAGCCCTGTAATGCTGAAAAAAAAAAAAAAAAAAAACAAGGGATAGGAAGGGGACACAGAGACATCATCTATAGCCATCCTGGCCACACTGTACAATTTCAAATTTTATGGGCCATATTTAAAAAGGTCAAAAGAAACAGATGAAATTAATTTTAATAATATATTTTATTTAGTCTCAATTGTCCAACACAGGAACATTTTGACATATCATATAAACACGTATAAACAAAACTGGTGCTGACATAATTTGCATTCTTTTGCATGGGCCATAGCTCTGCGCGTCTCTCATGCTACTTTACATGGACAGCACAGTCCCACTCAGGTGTGTGGCTCAGGGCTCGACCAAGCTCTGCTCTGGGGCAGTACGGGTGCGTGGAGGTGATCAAGGTCCCAAGGCCAAAACATGAGAATGGGCAGCCCCACACCAGGGTGTCATCAACCCTGCATGGTCCTCCATGACTGAGGCCCTACTTTGGAGATGAAGAAATTGAGGCTGAGAGCAGAGAGGCCCATGGCTCAGCCAGGACCCGCATCAGGCACCTGGAAACCTCAGCACCCAGAGAGGCCACCAGCCTGAGACCCACCCCAGGACACTGCAGGTCCAGGGTGCCCCTCTCCCTCTGCCACACAGCTCCACCCATAGCCAGCCCCTCTGATCAGGCCCTGGGGCTGGGCCTCTGCCCCCGCCTGCCCCCCCTGCCCCGCCTGCCCCCGCCTGCAGGCCTGTGTGGTGGGTGCTCAGTGAGAAGGCCGGGTCCCAGCTGGGGGCAGCGTTGGGTAAAGAGCTACGGCCGCTTTTAATCCTTAGGAAAATAGCAAACCCAGCTCAGAGTCTCACACACTCAAACCCCACTTAGCAGGGTGAGTTGGGAGACAGCCCTCCCCGTCCCTCCACCATGGGTGGGTGGGTGTGGGGGGGGCTCAGCCTGGGCCCCCGGAACTTAGCTGGGGTCTCACCCAGAGTGTGCCCAGCAGCCAGGGCAGGTACAAGGCAGATGAGCCAGCCAGACTGCGGCAGAGGCCAGCAGGACCCCGCAGGATGTCCCCACCCAGGCAGTACCCGGGCCACGGGCTCCCCGCCCACTCTGGGGCTTCAGAGCAGATGGCCAGCTTGCTCCGGAAGGGGTGGAGGAAGAGAGGCCCTCTCCACCCCGGGCTTCCCGCCCCACACCCCTGCTCTCTTCCCCTTTTTTCAGAGGAAAACATCATAGGGCCCTTACCTGCCAGGGGCCACCTGGATCAGGAGCAGAGGCACTGAGATGGGAAGCCAAGTGTGGACAGCAATATCTCAGGCTCAAAGAGCAGTGAGGAGGGGTGGGCAGGTGAGGGGGTAGTGACCCCTCAGGTGGCCCACCTGCAGCAGCCCAGTTAAGGCCCTCAGGGGGGTCCCAAACAGAGCCACAGGCAGGCCCCTGGGCACCCACCATTCCCCCCAAAGGTCAAGCAGGGGAGTTTGGTGGAGGATAGAGCCACCTGGACCCTCCCCTGACATCTAGCTCCCTCAGGGGCCAGACCAGCAGGCTCATGGGAGCTGGCTACAAACCAAACCATCCCCCAGTGGTTCCCACAACCTTCCTGCGCTCCGGCTTTTGGTCTTTGCTCCAAAACCAATTGATTTCTCACAGCCCCGGCCTAGCAGCCCTTCCCAATGTGGCTGTCAGGGTTAAAAACGACCCAGAGTCATCGGCCGGCATCCTCTCCCCTGGCCTGTCGTGGCCTCAAGTCCTGGCCCGCCATGTCCAGCCTCAGGAGCAGCCTCCCCACAAACTCCCAGAATGCCTCTGGTGCCCTGCTGTCGATGTCACTGCACATGCCTGGTGCTTAGGGGGCTCCCGGCCGGGCCAAATGCACCCCCAGCCCTCTCTGCCTGGAGGTGGGACACACGCCCAGGTCTAGTTAACAGAAAGCAAGCAGGCGACCGGTGGGTGGGCCCGGCCTTCCTGCAGGCTGGTCCCTCCTCCTTCTCCACGCCACTCCTTGCTGAGTCGCACCACATCCTCAGGTGACCAGGCCACCCAGCTAGAGTGACCAGGCCACCCTTTGAAGCCTGAATGACTGAGTGGAGTAGATCCCCCCTGGGAAAACTGCAAGGTGACCAAGAAGTTAGACTTTGACTCTGCTCAGCCATGGAGATCTGGGGATGCTCATTGCAGCCGCTCATGTTGGGGCACAGTGGCTCCGGGTCATGCGGCGCGCGCGCGCGTGTGTGTGTGTGTGTGTGTGTGTGTGTGTGTGTGTGTGTGTGCGCACGCACACCCATGTGAACATGGCTCAGGATCATACATGCCCAAGCATATGGGAGCCCAGCTCCCTGAGAAAGTGGTGCCCAGGCCAAGGACCTGCTGGGAGGAACAGCCCTGGCCCTTCCCCGTCTCCCAGGTGGGCCCAGGTTGATTGGAAGGCAGCTCAGGGCCGGGGCGCTCGTGCCTGGCCCCCTCCCTGCCTGCCCAGGGCTCTCCTGCAGCCTGGCTCTCGGAGCCCACCAGAGAGGCCGGGAAGGGCACAAGGGGCTGCAGAGCTGCGTGTGGACCCCCCGGAGCCCCTCAGCTGTGATTCCCTGGGTCAGCGTCTGAGTCCAGCCCCTGGTCTATCAGCCAGATGGTCGCTTCAGCAGGGAGAGCAACCTGACACGCCATTTCAAACCGATTTCACGGCGGGCCTCCGGAGAGCCCCAGCGAGCTCCTGACAATCCGATCTGTTGTGAATAAATATGACAAAATTGCCAATTACGGGAGAGAGGCTTCAATGTCGTGCGGGCCGGGCTGGCTGTGGCCACACGCTCAGGGGCCAGCACCGCCAGGGGGATGGCCCAGTGGACAGAGAGAGCCGAGTCCAGATGAAGGGAGTCCTGGGCCAGCGCCAGGTGCCGCGCCAGCAGGCACGGGGATGCGCAGCCGTGGCCAGGCGCCCTGCCAGCCTGGCAGAGGGTCCTGCTTCTGTATAAACCAGCTCTGGCTACTCCCTGTGGCCACACCCCTAAGGCTCCATATTTCCTAGATGACTCCACTAGGAAGGGGAGAGTGTGGTAGGAGCAGGCCCAAGCTGGCCCTGGATCCCAGGAGTCTGAGCCAGCCCTACTGGCCCCCAGTGTCCAAACCCGGGTCAGACCATAATCCCCTCCCCAGCCCCAGAAGGGGCTCAGCTGGCCAGAGACCAGCAGAAGCCACCCAGGTCCCAGCAGGCAGGACAGCAGCAGAACTCAGATCTGAATAGGGACAAAGGGAGCCCACCGTGTCCTCCCACAGTGGCTTATCTGCCCCCAGGACCCTGGAAGGCCCTCCTCTTGACCCCTGCTCCTGTTCAACCTGCCTCAAGCTTTCCCAGAGCTGTCTGGACCCAGACCTGCCCCAAGGCATGGCCTGTGCTGTTCCTGCCATCTTGAAATTTGGGCCCAGGATTTTTTGAGTTGGGTTTGATAGCAGAGTCACTGCCTTGCCCGGAGAGCTTGGTACTCACATGTCCCCAGAGGAGACCCCACCACTCCACCCAGGGCCACTGGGTACCCTGGGTTGGGCAGGAAGCAGAGGGAGGGGGCAAGCATGGCCCAGAGCCTTTGTTGTGGGCAAAGAAGCCAAGCAGGTTCCCGGCTGAGCAGGCCAAGGACAGCCGGGTTTGAATGTCGGTAGGCTCAGGCCATCAGGGTGTCCCCAGCTGTCTGGTCCCTGGCCCTGGGTGATTTAGATGGGGAAAATTTTGACCTGGGATTGTGACAGCTTTTAAAGTTAAAGGAAGTGTCAGAGACATAGCTTGGGCTTGGTGGGTTTCGTGTGACAGGCAAACCCCCAAGGGAGCATTTGCTGTCCTTAGGAATGGGTGAGCTTGGGAGAGGTAGTCCCAAAGTCTCCCACGGGTGGACCCTGGGAGCCATCAAAAGTGATTCCCTGGGGAGGAAGTCACGAGACCTCAAAGATGCCAGCACTTCCTAAAATACAGAAAACAAAAGACACAACTCTGCTCCATCTCTGATGGCCCCTGTGGGCTGGCCTGGTCTCACTCCTGCCGCTGGTCACAGCCAGGAAGTCACCTGTGTGGACAGTTCTGTACCAGGCATACTTTCCTCTGCCTCCACCAACAGGCAAATGGGGTCCAACTGCACATATCTCCAGCCCCATGGTCCAGCCCTGGTTCTGAACCTCATGGACGAGGGATAAAATGTCAGCCATTACTTACCAATGGCTGGATAAGATTGGGCAAGTCAATAGCACCGTTACCCAAGTAGTTTAACAAAAAGATAGCTCAGCACCTGGTGCACAGAGTACATTGAGTAAATTTTAGTTATTGCCACCATGATTATCACTACCACTGTCCTCATCACCACCTCATCATTCCATCATCACCATCACCATCACTGTCATCATCATCATCACCATCACCATCACTGTCATCATCATCATCACTATCACCATCACCGTCACCACCACCACCACCACCACCACCACCATCACCACCATCATCAC